AAAAATTATTCAAAAAAAAATAAAAATAACCATTATTCTTATCCAATATAGCCCTAGTCCATATTACGAGAGATCCGTATACGAAGAGTATTAACATTATAAGCTTGGTAGAGGATGAACATGTCTCCTGCTGCGAGCATCTTACACGGATACAATTCCTATAGAAACTTCGCCCAGAGCCCGATCCATTTGATTTCCGAGAAGTTAAATTGATTTAATAAATATTATTAAACACTAAGACTCCTCGTGATCGTTTTATAGAATATAATGTCCTACAGACCGAATCCCGGCCATGGCAGTCAGTCTCAACGGAGACGAGTCATCTGCGCAGGACAGGATTATAGTGCCAGAGTGTATTCACAAGCACAAGTGCTTATTCTCATAGTCTGATGCGATGGTAAACCAATACGACCGGAGAATAATCTGGTGCAGGACTAATGGGTTTACAAGCTTTCCGAAGCACGGGGGTGAAACATCGCAAACTTCCTCAGGATTTCTTGACAGATAACTTGGCTTGTTGTTGACTGGCGTTTTAAATAAAATCAAAAAACTACACCTTGAGCCATTATTAGCCATAACTCTCTCTTAAAAATGAGATTAAGCCTAACAGTAGGCCTTTTATAAACATAAAGATTTGTTATACAGCGCCCAAAATGTCGGGAATTCAAAAAAATTTAATTAAACGCGATAAAATCCGTAAAATAAATTTTATCCCTCATAAAGTATTCACGTTAATACGAGTTTTTTACAGCGTGAACCAACGTAAAACCTCATTTTGGCTTACTCGGCAGTGATAAGATATTTATGTAGGGACGGAATGTGAGACGACGAAAGAAATGGAATGCTACATTGGTTATATGTACAGTAAAAGCGACCAAAAATAAGAGAGAATGAAGCATAGATAGTTAAAGGCTTATATATAAAGATTAATACATAGTGTATATTTTTTTATATTTGTATAAAGATTTTTTTTACGCGAACACAGAAAAAGGTTTTTTTTTTTTTTTACCCGACAATAGAACAAAAAAAAACCCCAAAAAAAAAGAAACGGGAGACCCACACCACCCAAAAAAAAACCCCAAAAAGAAAGGAAAAAAAAAAAAAGAGGGGCCAAAAAAAAAAACACACACTTTTAAAAAAAAAAAAAAAAGAAACAAAGACAGCCCCCCCCAAAAAAAAAAAAAAAAAAAAAAAAAATTTTAATTATTTGTATTCATTGTATATTGATATTATATTCATTGTAACTATGCGTGGTAGAGCACCGTTGTATCTATATTATAGCTGTAGCACAAATGAGTCGGCTCGAACGAGGAAGGACCATGCTCTCACAAAATAGCATAAAATAGCAGCTTAAAGTTGCTGTGTTTCGTATGCTGAGTTTAAAGAACCGGATAACCTTTTCTTCTCTGGAAACGAGGCACTAGTGATTTAGTTAGCACCTAGTTCTAGAGGGGATTCGGTCTATGAATTAGTCTATGAAATTGAGATTCAAGCTACAGTATAATCTTAACATCATGTGGACTGTGTATTCGTTTGTCACCCATATCACAGCCCATAATTTACATAATAAAATATATTTAATCCAATACACAGTTTATGTTTGACAAACAGAGCGCATGTGTTAACCATTAACACCAAAACATAATCTGAAACAATAACGTTCAAAAAATGGACGCCGTTTTACCCATTCACTAACAATTCGGACTGCTTCAGACTGCTTCCATTTGGTGTAGCGCACGTTTTTGACATTGACTGGCCGCCGACGACGTCCATTTGAAGTGGACGCACGGATTTTAATCCGTTTGGAAATCCAGATGACGTCCATCCAAATGGAATATTTTTTTACCATTCACGGAACGATTTTGGACGATTACCACTCCATTTGGATTAATGGACGTATCGTCAGTGGGTAGTACCTTTATACACGTGGTAGAGCCATGCTTCAGCTATATTACAGTTGTAACACGAATGGGTCGGGTCTACCGGGAAAGAAGCAGGCTCTCACAGAATACCAGCGTAAAATAGTAGCATAATGCTTCTGTGTTTCGTATAGTGAGTTTAGAGAACCAGAGACCCTTTTTACTGGAAACGAGGAATTACATCTCAATCGTCAGGGGTGAAAAAATATGCCATTTGATTCTTAGTTTAAGATCAATGTAGATGTCTATGGGCCACAGTATTACACTTTTACACTTACCGTGAGGTTGACTGTGTGCTTGATTGTAACCCTAATTCTATATAATGGTTTGTTTTAGTAACTAAATATAACAACAAATCTGGACCTGAAAGGTGGAACTGGGACACTAATTTTATATTAACACTTTAAGAAGTCCGTCGTGAATTCGCGGTGAATTTTATTACTAACGTCATCTACCGAAAAAAGGCAGAACAACGCCCAAGCCAGCTAGTAAGATTTATTAATACATCATCTCGCTGCGCCTATAAATTATTAATACGATAATTTTATCCACTATCTCTCGTTAATTATTCTTATCACTGAACCTTACAGCATAATACATTTGATAAATAAACAATTAGGTTGCGAAGTAATAATCAGTGTCGTTTGCGAAAGAACAAGAGAAACATTAAAATTAAATGTTATTTTATTTATTTATATATTGACATTAACAGCGGAGTGAAAGTTATAAATTACTATTCTGTGACTTAAAAGTATGGTTATTTCCCGGAGATTATAAGGTCATTTGTGTGTATGTCATGAGTGATTTATTTTTTGTGATCCAAATTTGGAGTGTGAGCGTGGCCCAAAAAACTCTATTACTCCATTTCAAACCGTGGCTATCGTAAGAGGTGACTATGGGATATACCTACAAGATCTTATAGCTTCCGAGAGAGTGCAGTGTAACTATCTCGCTTAAGTCAATCGTAAAAAACTCTGGTACGCGATGGTTAGTACGTCAAAAGTGCGAGTCGTCTGGTACTGGAATCGCCAATCCTGGCAAAAGTATTTTTTTTTAGAATAAGAGTTACAAATAACTCTTAGTTACAATCCACCTATTGGTAAGCGGATGCTGTGGCTCCTTAGATAGACAGATATTTACATACATCCTCAGCTAAGAATCAAAATAAATTAAAATATTGTGTACTAGATTCACCATAAATATAATAGTTATAAAAAAAATATTGTAAAACTTAATTTATAATTGGTAGCTTCACTATAGGTTGTGTTTATTGTATTACTTTTAACTGCTTAGTACTTAATGTTTAATTATAAAAACCTTTCAGTTATTTTTTTTGTTATTTTCAAACATATTGTGGTTGCAAGCTTTTAATATGTATTAGATATCTGTGGAAACTTCATTGGTTTTAGGATTACTTTTATATGTTTTATAATGTATTTTTTATTGTACTGTATTTTCCCTTGAAAAGCAAATAAATAAATAAAAAATGCAGATGTGTTGTCAGCCCTAAAAACTAAGATGGAATGCATCGTATCCAGTACAAAGCGTCTCCGGTTTTGTACTCTAACCATAAGAAGCACAGCAGCATTAAGCTGCTATTTGACGTTGGTATTCCGTGAGAGCATGGTTTTGACCGTAAGAGGTAAACGGGCGTTCTCCCGCCGGGTAAGGTGATCAGCACAGTGAGCGGTTGACGCTCCGTGTGTTGATGACAGAGCTGTTCTCTTCTATATATACCGCAGTACTTCGGAACTTTGGTAGCGTGATTAAGCTTACAGTGCGTTTCGCTTGTAATAATAATAATAATAATAATAATGTTTTATTTGCTGTAACAGTTTAAGTACTTAGAATATATGTGACCAGTGTCTCCTTTTAAGCTTGAATCAGCCTGTGCCAGGGGACACTGCTCTTCCTTAAAATAGGTCATTTCTTACAAGAAAACTTAATAAATAATAATTACGAAACAAAATAAAAATATATAAGTAACAATAATATATGTGGTCTAACAAAAATGACTTAATATACTTATTTATTTACATTTATAAATCAGCCAAAGCAACTTAAGCAACATAAGCCTGAATGCGCGCGCGCGTGTGTGTGTATGTGAGTGAGTGTGTGTGTGTGTGTGTGTGTGTGAGTGTGTGAGTGTGTGAGTGTGTGTGTGTGTGTGCGTGTGTGTGTGTGTGTGTGTGTGTGTGTGTGTGTGTGTGTGTGTTTGTTTGTGTGTGTGTGTGTGTGTGTGAAACTGAGTGGTGTGTTTGTGTGTAAAATTCTAAAATAATATAATGTAATTTAATTATTGCTTCATTACTCTAGAAGAGCCTCAGTGTCATCGTAAGACTTAGGGAGTAGCCATATCTTAAGAAGTCTTCTACATTCAAAAAAGACTTTATCATATATTCCCAATACCTTGTTTGCTGTATTATATAGATGTCCTGACCGTTTGGTATATTGTCTTTTAGCAAAGGCAGTGTTGCTTCGAGGAGCTCGTACAACAATGTCATGTCTTCTCCTATTCTTGATATCAGGATTGTAAGGCAAGGATAAATGTTTTCTTAAAACTGCCTGCATTATGTATAATTTCCTAACAGAAAGAATACCAGTGTTTTGGTAAAGACGCTCGGTCGAGAACCCCAAATTTTGAAAACACATGGTCTTAATTAGTCTTCGCTGGGCCCGCTCTACCTCAATAAAACGGGTTTTGGCAGCACCACCCCAGATAGATATACAATATATCAAGATAGATTGCACCAGCGAGTAATATATTTTAATAAGGAGACCTTTTTTCAGAGCTAGTTTGATTGTCAACCATCCACCACCACACAACAGGGCACCACGTATCTCAGCATCCTGAAGATCCAGCTTGTGGCGCGACAACAGCACTGCCATAGTGGTTCGTCGACGATGGAGGCCACCCATTCGTGCTGCAACCACAATATAGCTGTAGCACGGCTCCACGTGGAGCTGCAACGATATTTTGCTCGAATTATCAACTGAACTTTCTATTTCAGAATGTCGTGCCTTAATGTTTCTTGCCCGACCTATACAAATGGACCAGCCGGTATTGCCTTTGCCGGTCTGATGACACACCTATTAGCAGCGCAATGTTTGATCACTGAGAACTGGCCTGAGGATGCATTTGGCAGAATTACATGTAAGATTGTCATTCACCCTACAGTAACCGTAGATTCAAATCGCCATTTACTTTACAATTTTTTTAATGATTTCTTTAATCAAGTATAATTACTTTAGTCAACCAAATCTAAGAAATACATTTTGACAGCGCTCAGACTTATTGCACCAAGCATGCCAACTAAAAAATGAAAACGTAACGATAAATATTCGATTCTTAAAAAAATCGATATCGATTATTTAGAGTTGGTAATCATTTACAGTTTAGTTTGAATAATACTAGAATAAATTAAAACCGGATAATTTAAAACACAAAAATTTATTAGTTTCTTCGTATTTGTAGTTACTGCTTATTTCCAGAGGCATAGTTATAAAAATTTAAGATTGAAACTAGATTAAAAATAAATTTATTCTAGTATTTCTTAGATATGGTTGACTATAAAATGTTGTGAGTTTGAATCTATTAGTAAATGGTTTCTTATATTTACGCGACACTACACATTAAATGAAACTAATTTTACGGGTTTTATCGCGTTTAATTTTGACTTTTTATTTCCCGGAGTTTCTGGTGCTTTACAGCACCATGGATTCGAAAGGGGGGAGGGATACTAAGGTGTTTTACGTATAACCGATATCGTAGTCAGCCCGGCTACCTGCCGTTTTTGAATATACATTATTGTTCCGATCTACGCAAAATTTTTGAACAACAAACAATGAACTTCAGCGTTGGACCAAAGGTTATGCCGGTGGACTCCTACTAGCTAAAACTCCTCTTTTTGTGTTCCTTCGCTATTTTGTTGGGACCACGGGAATATTTTCATGGGCTATCATGACCTCGATGGTTGTAACTCATCACAGAATCCTTCTCATTGATATGCGGAGCCGATGACCTAACTACAGGTGTATAACACTTCAAGGCCTATCGTACCTACTCGTATTATATTCAGGATGATCATTTGAGGTCCATACGGAGGTGTACATTACACTGGGTCGAACCAACCCAACATTTTCTCCTTTGATGTCCGACTCTCTAGCTGCGCTAGCACTGCTACTTTGCAGCAGAAATAGGTAAGAGAAAGACAGTGGTCCATATGTTAAGGAGTCCTGCCACCCTGTACCAAAGTAGTATCTTAAAGAACGTTTGTGTCCATCACTTTAGTATTTAATCACTAAAACTAATGTACTAATATTATCTTTTATTAATTTCTTTATAGATGGTGAAAATTTTGACTTTATCATTGTCGGTTCGGGAACAGCTGGTTCTATCCTTGCTAATAGATTAACAGCAGTAGAAGACTGGAAAGTACTGGTGATAGAAGCAGGTGAAGATCCCCCTTTAGAAAGCATTGTAAGTACACATATTAATATATATTAATCAAACTTCTAAATAAATCATAACTTTTAAAAATCCATCAACCCTTTTTTCTATCTTCTTATTTTTTGCCATTTGAATACACCGCATGGCATACGTAATTGCTTGCCTCCTTGGCCTAGAGGTTTTAAGCGCACCTGCTAATGATGTGGTACTGAATTCGAATCCATGGTCAATCAAAATAAATCAGTTTCATCAGGTTTTTCAATTAAGAATTCCGAATATCAACTAGGATTTAGAAAGTTAACGATTTGTTTAACATTTGTGCCTCAGGAAGCATGTAAAGTCATTGGTCCTGTGCCTGATCTCTTTCCGGTCGTGTCACATTACCATGTCATCGGACGATAAGCGTGGAATAATAAAGAGTACATCTACGCATAGTCCGATGGTGCACACACTCAAATATTATAATCCTATTCTGCGCAGATGGCCAGTCTTCTTTGAGCCGTGCCGCCGATACCGGAATTCGGTCCAAAAATTACGCCAAACCGCATAATTACTAAAACGCCTTTTCAAGATTACGCGAAACCGTACATTTATCAAAAGTTATGCCCACAGGCACCAGGTTGAACAGGCATGATATCCTCAAATCGTCAATGTTTTTAATACCTGTAAATTTAGTCCGTACCATTGGATGAATTTTGCGATATCAGCAGATCGCAAGAACAATTATTATTTTCTAAATGTAGATAAGATGGGCAATGAGCATTTTAAAAATAATACAGACAAATATTTAGCTTTTTGTTGTCAAAGATTGCCTCATAGGTATATTCCCATATTTGCCATTGTTGCCACACTTGGCAGGTAGGTTGACAACCGCAGTTTTATTTTTAGTTATTATTAGGAAGGCATTACTGCCCATCTTCTGTTTTGTTTCCCCCTGTCGCCTCTTAGGCCACCCTGGGACGATATGGGATCTTACACCGCCACTACACGGTGTTACATATTTTTCAACTCAGGCGTAAATTATTGTAAAACAACATGAAAGCAGAATACAAATATACAGTATAAGCCTAAATTTATGGAATTTAATTTTCTTGCGCGTCCGGAGAGATATTCAGTCATACTTACTAGATTAAACTCATTATTTAAAAACATAAAGTTATCACCAGCAAATTACAGCGTAACAGACATTTACTATTATACTTATTTAACTTAATATTAATAATTATTAAAAATATTAACTTCATATTATTATTTAAATCAATTAGAGTTTATATCTGAATAATAAATTTGGAAGATTTTCTTGAGGCAATTGAAATCATTTGATCCATAATTTTCAGATTCCAAATTTTTCAACAGCAACTCACAGAAGCCGTCATGCGTTCCAATACTACACCGAACAAGACGAAACTATCAACAGAGGTTGCGTGGATCGTAGATCATTTTGGCCTCGAGGCAGAGTTATTGGAGGCACCGGAAGTATTAATGGCCTGTTACATATGAAAGGAAGTGCTGGTGATTACGAAACTTGGCATTTTGAGGAAGATAGTGGGTGGGATTGGCCTACGATAAAATCATACTTCATGAAAAGCGAAAAAATAGTCGACCCCTCCATATTAAGCAATCCGGAACTTAGAAATAATTACGGCACTGAAGGTAATTACGTTATTGATAAATTAAATTTTACCCATTCTCATATTGTAGATAAACTAACTCAAGGATATTTGGAAATGGGTTTAAAGTACTTAGAAGATCTTAATGGACCTACTCAAATGGGAGTTGGTAAAATCAGAGGTGGCAATTACAAAGGAAAACGAGTCAGTACTGCAACTTCCTTCTTAAATGCGGCAAGAGAACGTAAAAATTTATATGTGTTAAAAAATACAATTGCAACTAATATCAAGTTTGATAAAAATAAAAGGGCTGAAGGCGTGAAAGTGATTTTATCAAATGGCGATGGAACAACTTTCTACGCGAAAAAGGAAGTAATCTTAAGTGCTGGGGCAATCAGTACCCCCATACTACTCATGTTGTCTGGTGTTGGTCCAAGAGCTCACCTTGAAGAACTAAATTTTAAAGTAATTTCTAATCTACCCGTTGGAGAAAACCTTCAAGATCACGTAAGAATTCCGGTTTTAGTAACCATAAACACAAAAACCACACAAAAAGATGATACATATTGGCTTAAAGCGTCAGCTCAGTATCTTGTAGATCAAACAGGACCACATGCGACAAACTATGATCAACCTAATATTAACGCTTTTCTCTCAGTACAGGAAGGCAAAAGTTTACCTGATGTTCAAATAGATCATAATTACTTTGTGCCTAATACATCGTATATGTTTTCTATGTGCACGGATGTATTATCTTATGAAGAAGATATATGTAAGCAATTTTCAGACATAAACAGTAAACACGAAATGCTTCTCTTTTATGTATCCTTATGTCGGCCTTATTCAAGAGGCAAAATACTATTACGGTCTGTTAATGCGGTAGATTTTCCAAAAATTTACCCAAATTATTTCAATGATGAAAGGGATATTGATATATTCATAAAAAGTATTAAAAAGGTAATGCAAATCGTGGATACACCAAGCCTTAAAAGTATTAACGCTAACATACAAAGGATCTATTATAAGGATTGTGATGATTTTGAAATGGCAAGCGATGAGTATTGGGAATGTATGGCTAGGACAATTACATTTAATGTCTATCATCCTGTTGGAACAGCCAAAATGGGGAAAAAAGGGGATCCCACAGCTGTCGTAAATAGTAAATTGAAAGTGCATGGAGTAAAAAATCTAAGAGTTGTCGACGCTAGTATAATGCCAACTATACCAGGTGTGAACACTAATGCTGCTACGATGATGATAGCAGAACGAGCATCAGATTTCATCAAAAATGATCATATGCTCAAAGACGTGAAGAAAGATGAATTGTAAATGGATAATTTTGTTTTAACCAGTTTTAACATAAGTAAAACATAAAAACACCAAACTTGTAATGTAAGATTCTTTTTACTACATTGTAGAACCTAGTAAAAAATAATCCTTGAATGTCACTCACTGTGTGACAAATAGAACATTGTCAATCTAATATAATTTAATAATGCTATGTTTAGCAAAGATATTTCTTTCTGTGTTGTATTTCTGGTTTCTTTTTTTACCTTAATGCTAGGAAAAATAAATGTTCTAGATAACGGTTTATTACCACTAATAAAAAACTCCGTGGGTATACAATTTTTTGTAGAAGTCGAAAATAAAAATCATGCTAATGTTTGTAAAATAAAATCCATGACTAAAACGTGTTTAGTAGATGAAAATAAAATAGATGATTGTAATATCTTGGAAACACATGGTGCATATTACGACTTTGTTAAGCCCACTAACCGCAAGACTTTGATTTTCGTACTCCCGACATTATTCCAACACGACTTAGTAGGCTACTGCAATTTAATTTTTGAATATCAATGCAGTAATGAAACAAATATAACTATATTAAATATACCATTTAATACACAAGTTTCAAGTATGACAATTGCGACAAAAGTTTTAAAAAATTATATTGGTAATGAAAAAGGAAAAAAATGTTCATCATTAGACCAAAATTCTTTAAATAGTTGTCTTCCAGTTAATTGTGACGTGAAATATTTGGGAAGAAGATCATTTTACAATTACAATTTAAGCAAATGTTTCCCAGCAACTAAATGTATTGGTAATCCTAACAATGAACTTGCTGACATAGCGTATATGGCTGTAAGTAACACGTGTAGAGACTTGGAGATACCACTATCTATTCAAGACATTTACGCCATTGGTTCTGGCTTAGGAACGACCACACAATCATCGCACGTATCTCAAAGCGATGTTAAAATTGAAATAAAGTCAAATTGTTCAACAATATCTCAAAATATAAACTTTTTACGAGATCTTGCTTTTGGAAAATTGTACCCTTCTTGGTGTGGTCAAACTATAGATTATAGCATTTATTGCAAATCCGCATTTTTGTCAATAGGAATGAGCATTATTTTTTTATGTATGACCATTTTATTTCTTACATTCTGCATTAATACTATTATTTGCTTATTTTGTCTAGAACCAGTAAAAAAATCAAATTGCTGGGAAAAATTTAAAAATATTTTAAATTTTTATAAAAAGAAACAGAAAAGGAATGAGTACGCTGAGAACAAGGAGATAAGAAATGCTTTGTTAAGAGAAGTCATAGTCAAAAATTTACCTCTGGAAATGAGAAATAGTGCCATAGACATTTGTGAAAGAATGGGTGAAGAGGTAAAAAAGAAGAAAAGATACAGAATTTCAGACGTTGGAAGCCAATTTAGTTTAAGAATGGAAAATGAAGATCAAACTTCCACGGCTTCAATTTCAAGTACGTCTTTTGAAGTGAATGACGACAAAAAGTCGTTACTTAAATAAAATTAATATATAGGCATACACTCAGTTTGTTTCATTTACCACTAAACGTATATGTATTTTATTTTAATTGTTTTAAAATTGGGAGACATTTTGTACTGCAAGCTCTAATCTGTCATATAAGCGTGACAATAAATAAATATCCTCCCAATAAACCCAGAGCGTCATATTCATCAATAAACTGCTACGTGTGCGCGTTTAACAAATCTGCAGGATATCCAGTAGAACGTTGTTGTGCCCGAACACCGATTGTATATTACTGATCTGCTTGTTCCTGACATCCAAGGGTATACCGACTATAGCACACTTATGGCAATATACGCCATTCGTGATAAAATCCATTCTGAAACAGAAGCTATGACTGAGCGTGTACGAGGCTGCTATTTGAGAATATTGCCTACCCATCGGTTGCCGGTTCTTCGAGCTATATCGCCGGCCCATTGCCACTTCAGCTTACTAATCCCTTGGTCTATGTTAGTTACTCTGGGTTTACTGCAGATATCCTCATTTATAAGTTTATCACGCAGGGAAACCCCAAGCATAGGCTTCCCTATAGTTTGCTGAGTGACCTTGAGCTTCCTTATACGGCCAGCAATGGAGGAACACGTCTCCGATCCAAAAATTGGCACATTGCATTACTGGCAAAAAGCACTAGTTGTATAGTGTTATTTTCAAGTTTTGAAGTATACGTGACGAAAAGATGTCGAAAGGTAATCTCCCAAACACTGCATAGCCGAGTTGATTCCGTCGATTGACCTCTCGGTTGAAGTTCAACTTACCTAGTCAGTCTACTCGTCACAAGTTAGTTGAGAGCTTAATGTTCCCAACAACTACCGGCATATTATGTGTGACATGGACGTTACAGATGATCTTTGTATCGTCCATGTTCATCTTAACATCTATCCGTCGGGTGGCACTATCGAAGACATCGAGCATAGAGTTTAGGTGCTGCACGAGAGACGTACTGCAGCGCTGAAGAGTTTCAGGGATATAACGTCACCTTGTCTTACTCTGCAATTGGATAGGTTTCGTAAACTGGTTCTTTATTCGCATAGCTTTCGAAACCTTAGTGTACAAATACTTCAGCACTTCGATACACCGACAGTAACTTTTCACCGCTGCAAGGACTGCTGTACCGCCCAAATTTCGACAGAATCAAAAGATTTTCTCATAGTCCACATACGAAATATAAAGTAGCAGATTGTCTTCTCTTTGGTCTATTGTGCAATTTGCCAAAGGTTATGTGTATAGTCTGTGACGCTTAAGACTTTTCCGGCTAATTCGATAGGATGGAAGTCGTCGAGTCTACGCAGTAGTACGCACACGCGGCTCAGAGGAGAAATCGGTCTGCAGTTCTATATATATATATATATATGTGTGTGTGTGTGTGTGTGTGTGTGTGTGTGTGTGTGTGTGTGTGTGAGTGTTTGTGTGTGGGGTCGTTTTGCAATGGATGCCTTTTGCAGAGGAGATTCAGAATGAGAATAGTAATGTATTATTTTAACTGATTGTCGTTCTTAAATATCTAACGCCTACAAATTTAGCACGCACACATTCAGCCATCCCAGGAGCGCGTGTTCACTTAGTTGTTATATATCCTTATTTACTATTATTTTCAAAAACTGCAATAAAGTTATATCATTATTTATATATTTGAACTTAAATATAAAAGGGGAATGTCCACTCTTCATAGACACTTCGGCCGTGGGTGCCCACATATATTTTAAAGACATATAAGTTTTTATTTTCTCAAATACAGTTTTTTAACAGCTACTTTTATCGATTTTATCGCGTTTTATTTTTTTGATTTTTAATTCTAGACGTTTCGGGTGCTTTCCAGCACCCATGGTCACGGCGGACTGAGGTGACTAACGTCCCAATGTCAGTGTTAACCCGGAGTACCTTCAGGTTCTTAATTTTTATTTATGGTCCGATCTACAGAATGAACTTACTGTGTCTTGAAGTCTTGCGGTGGTATCCTTGGGTTTAGTTTTAATTTCATTAGTTAAAGGGTCCCAAGCAGGTGGTAGTACCAAGCCTCATTCTCTATTTAAATAAGGATTTTTTTATTACAATAGTCTCATGTATCATTCTTGATAGGAATTGATGTTCCTTCGAGAGGATTTTTGGTCTAATTGTTCTTTTCGTTTGCCCTATATATGAGAGACCACATTCACAATCAAGCTTGTACACTCCTGCATCTTTTAGAAGAATATGACACTTGATGGATGGTAAGAACTCACTAATCTTCTTCAGAGGCTTGTAGAATGTTCTAATAGAAGCTCGCTTCATTATGTAGCCAATCTAGTCTGTGACACCCCTGACATATGGTAGTACTACACACACTTGACTGTGGCCGACTTCACTCGGTCACTGTGAGATAGGCACGGGACCCGAAGCTTGTTGAAGTGCAGAACCTGCTTGACGTGCTGAAGCTCGACGGCAGATGTTTGCTGTCACAGATCCCTTGTGACCCTGTAACGAAGATTTGATAACGATTGGATAACGGTGCTGGTTACATAAGGACTAAGACCAATGTTATTTATAAATTGTTATTTGATTTAAGCATTATTATGTAATTGTTTGTTATCCTGATTTAAAAAAGGTATAGTATGCTCAGGCATACTCTGAATATTTTAAGTCTATATGATGTGCATATTATCTTTCTATAATATAGCAAAATCTTCAATTTGTGCTGCACTAAATATTTTAATATAATTATATATTGTTGATTCTAAAAGTACATTGCAAGAGTTACTATTTAAATGGTAATTACATATTCTATATTCTAGAGGTAAATTGTTTTTTTTTCTATAGGATAGCGCGACAAACAAGCACACAGTCCACCTGATGGTAAGTGGTTGCTTTGGATCATAGACATCTACATCTTTTCTCGATTACAAATCAAAATGCAGATGCATTGTCACCCTTGAGGACTAAGATTGTTTTCTCATTTCCAGTAAAAAGGGTCTCCGGTTCTCTACACTCACCATATGAAACACAGCAGCATTAAGCTACTATTTCACGCTGGTATTCTGTGAGAGTGTGGTCCTTCCCTGGTCGAGCTGACCCATTCCTGCTACAACTATACTACTAATATAAGTTAGCAGTGTTACGAGCTTGAGGTTCGTGACAATAAAAATTGCCGATAGGATTACCTAAATTAACACTTTAATTTTCTTTACACAAATTAAAATTTAAAACACCAATAATTAAGCACACTAATTCACTTTATTCCGCTCCGAAGCTTCGCTTGTCTCGCCAAATTCAATACTTCCCCGATCGCACCTTGCAGCGCCTATAAATACACATTAGTACCGAATCATCCAGAACATTCTAGTAAATACGCGCACCAATCGACAAAGCGCCGAAAGTTCGAGAGTCAGCTTCCAGAAGCTTAGTTCTTCCTTTCGACAACAGATGGCACTGTCGGTTGAAAGATTAGTGAAGTCATTTTCTGGAAAGCTCCCCTCGCTCTCGTCCCTGACACTAGATGGCGCTAGTGCCAGATG